CGCGGAATGAGTGTGCCTACCGATGTTTCCTCTAACGTCACCTTAAAAATCCCAATATAAGCCGTTTTAGGTTGCGAAAAAAAACCTTCCTCATCATAATATCTTTAAAAAAAGAATGTATATATTTTATTAAACAAGCATGGGGTCCGTATTGGCTAAATATTTGTCGTGTTTTATTTTAGCAGGTTTAAGGACCGAGCCGCAGAAAATTCGTGAGTGGTCTGTCTTGGCGGTCCGTGTTGCGAAATCCGGACCGCTAAGATAAGCAATCAGAATTCTTCCTTTTTTTCGCGCGCCAGTTCAGCCGTATTTTTATTAGGATTAAACCTATTCATACAGAATTAGAATAAAACAGTGGCTACAAATACGTTAAATGTGTTACTACCTTTGTCATACAGTACTCAAATGTTCATGGGGGGTTGCTCTTTATAGTTCACGTTTTACAATACATTTTTCTGATACTATCGATTTCCATCATGATTTTTATATTATTCCTTCTATTTTGCACAATATTCTTTAGACAGGAAACTAAGTCAATTAAAGTTTTAGTTCTTCATCGTCTACTTAATTATATTTATTCCTTCAACTTAACTCAACGGAGAGCTATGTTCGCCATAATGATGAACCAAATCAGGGACCATAAATTAGTCCCTATATAAAACAGATTCTAGCTAAATATTTACAGGTCGGTAAAAAGTACCGAGCAAAATGGAAATCTTTCCAGTCGTAAACGAACAGAACAATAGGGAAATAAATGTGTTATAAACAAACCGTTTAAATAGCTGTGAGAAATTTATCAAACGTGCGTAAACAATAAGTGGGAATGGAAGCTTATATTAATGCCAAATCAGCATTACAGGTAAAACAGGGAAATGTGAAAAAATAAGAAGAAACCTTATGGATCAGAACTTCTCAAAGTCATCAATAATTCATCAAGTTTAAACACAGGAAAAATGACCGTGACGATCTTTGAATATCTCATCTTAATTAGCATACATTTTTACGATTTTATTCCTCCGTTTCCCCTTAGTTTTAGTTTCGATTGAGAAGATCTGTCAAACACTCGAGACACTGATTAACTACAATACCAGACACCTCGAAGTTCGTCAAAAATACTCCGCTGCACGTCGTATTTTCAACTTTCATCTCGGTGTTTGGAAATGTGATCGAACACGACCGTATTCGTGTTTGATATGTTACTTCCGGCACAGTTAATAGAGGGAATATATGGCTAAGAAGCCCGGTAAACATCAAAGACGCAAACAAACAGGCTAAGATTTATGTTGGAAGGTCCTTGACCCTGCGCATCTTTTGCTTTTATGCTCACTGACTATGTATGAATTACATAATCGCAATCCTTCTATTGGTTAGTTGTATGAGCACACATAACAACTTTTGTATTTTGCCAGGTTTTGTGCAGGGTCAATCCCCAGAATAGCCGACAAAAACATGCAAAAAAGAACTTTGCCAGGTTTCAGAGCCATTGCCTCTATAAACTATTCTTCCACTGACTTGCATGTGACCATGCCTGCCACGTGCTTTGCTCATCGTGTATCAATCTTGCACGCAGCCGATTATCCCCCCATGGTAGGAAAGCTCAAGTATTCCAGAAGGCTCTGCTTCATAGTAAGTTTCATCTTCGGCAATGGTACACCATCTCGTATGACTGAGGAGATCTTCTGGTATTATATGATCACAACATTAGCAGATACTTAAAACTTCAAACCTCATTTTCTCTGATTGACATGGCATTGAAGCTTTGTTGAAGTAGACTAAAGTGTAAAGACTGACTGGCTAACAAACCCTCGGCCAGTTTTTGAGCCGGCGGACCATTAGAAGCTCAGCGTTCACTGAGCTACCATGCATGTACATGTATTTAAATATGCAGCTGCCTGCCAGAAGGACGCCCCCTTATCACAAGATCCTTTAGAACACCACAATGATGATGCTATGCGATATAGCGAAGGAAAAACATATTGCAGTTAGTTTCAGTGATTTCAAAGACACGACGACATAATTCAGTTATTTGTAAAAAGTGTACGCGACTTTTCAATTTGACATCACAATCAAACTTCTACATACGCAGCTCATTATTTATTTTTTTTAAGCTCCATGGTTTAGTGATTTTTTGATAAAACTAAAATGTTATTTTTAGGTTTTCAGTAATGATAATGTAAGCCTTTTGGGAATCATGCTCGTGGCAGTGCACCTTTAAAATCGTGCCTAACATCTATGGATATGCAAACAATCCCAGTACAGCTAAATCATCGCTACATCTGGACTTAATGGTCTGCAAACATGAGGGGACTAGTCGCAAAACTAGTCCTCCGAAGAGTTTACACGAAGGGACTGGTCGCAGGGACTTGTCCCACGAACAGTTTACACGAAACGTTTTGAGGAACAAGTTGCAGGGACCTGTCCCAAAAATTCAAACCAGTTTGAATTCGTGGGACTCGTCGCAGGGACCAAAGTTTGGTCCCTGCGACTAGATTTTGAAAAAAAAACGGCCAGTTCACACGATGGGACTTGTCCCCGCGATTTCTTGCAGGGAGTAGTCGCAGGGATTAGTCCCCTCGTGTGCGCCGCCCTTAAGGCTCTAATTTTCCCCTGATAACTCTTTTGTGGAAATGACTGAGGAATTTGTAACGACCAAATGGGGTTCTTGATAACGTTTGTACACAACTAAAGCAATATCGTTATCAGGTATTTCTAAGAATGACAAATACCTGGCGAACACTTTTCTCCCATTCCCTTCAACGTGAAACAACTCTTTGATTGCTCTCCGAATCGCCTTCACCCTCCAAATGCAAATAATTGGATTAGCAGTTGAATTCAAGAAGGCGGCGGTTTCCACCCAGCTGTACAAATTGTAAGTGTTTATTTCGATGAGGATTATTTGATGCAAGGCTGTTATGAGAAGAACTGGAAGGTTAAAAGCCAGATAGACTGCCATAATACATGCAATGTTCGCTGCAAACTTGATTTGCATTGCACTTTGGCTACTGGTGCTGCTTCTTTGACGAGATGAATCTCTCAATTGAAGTTGCTTGATTTGGTTCTGATGACGGCGAATTATCGGGAGGACTCTCACCTGGCTCACAAGAGCAGTTATCAAAAGGATTAACCAACTCATAAGATGGATACCCCGTGCGATCTCGTTATGAACCCATTGTAGAACCGTTAAGATGACGTTTACCATCCAGATGAAAATCACCAGCTTCATGACTCTAGAATGGTGTATTAGGTGCGCATACTTGAGAGGAAAAATCAATGCCAGGTATCGTTCACAGCTAATGGCGCACAAGGTCGTGAGGGACACACCATAACAAATGAAAAATCCCGTCGAATAGAGCAGCCTTACTGAACAAGGAACAAACTTGTGTGTGTTTTCTGTAATTCTAAAAGCTACGTAACTCGGCTGAACTACCAAACTAACAAGAAAATCTGACGCTGCGAGACATCCGAGTAGCATGTTCAAAGGAGTTCGAAGTGAAACTTTCCTAGAGATAACTAAAACAATGAAGAAGTTTGCCACAACACCAAACGGTGACAGAACCGCATTTAAAACACCTGTGACCAAGTTGGTTGTATATCGCTCTGCAACTTTGTCGAATTCAGGATCAGGCAAGATCGAGAGGCAGAAGTCGCTGTCGAGAGGAAAATGATTCGAAATTGCAGTTCCAGTTTCATCGCTGTGATTGGGCATAATTTTGCTTCGCAGCTCTAGATCTTCGAAAGCGTTTTGCTAAAAAATATACAACAGCTGAACTTGCAGAGTCAACTTTGATACCTATTGTTCTAATGTAGTTAAGTTTTACCAGCTTATGGTAATTCCCAAGCTAAGTTAAACATGTCAGAATCAATGATGAACGATTTTTGTTTAAAATGAGCTGTATGAGAAGACAATTGAAACGGGACGTTATAATTCATTAAGATTATCAACGGGTTCCAAAATGCAAAATTGGTTTCTACATTTCTTAATCAGAAAACCTTTAAAAAGAAAATTTTTAGTCTTTGATATGCCGGGAATATTTTCAATTAAATTGGAGAGAAAGTTTCTTTCATTAAACTTGACAAATTTAGATCTCCATAATGACAAGTAGAAGAATTCCTTGTTATGATGAAAGTCGGCAAAATTAAAGCAGATGGCGGACAATTATACCTTTTGCGCAATTTCGCTTGAAGAACAAAACCAACCGCTATTCGCAGCAGGAAATGCAGTTTATTTTTATTTGAGTGTTGCAGACTTCCGTTTGTTATTGCAACACAACTCTTAACGCCCTCCAAGTTGCAATTACATGTTTTTGAGAAAGCTTGGATTGTTACTCATTTCACGATTACACTAAAGATCTATGACCAGTTTTTTAGAAGGTTAACTTGATATTGGAAGACTGAGTTCATTTTTGTTCGATAATGAAAAGAAGATGTGCCAAGACAAAGCAAATTGAAAAAAAAAAAATGACTAAAGGGACGGATGATCTGGGAGTGTTATGGTCATTTATTCACATATGTGCGCTGATTCCATTTACAGCACTTCCAAAACTAACAAATCCTTTGTATTTGAACTTATCGCTAGATCGTCATCTTTAAATCAATCACATTCGGGAGAAGAGGTCACTTGTCTTCCTGCCGACTAGATCAACTTGCAAGTGTTTTATTTACACCCGTCCCTCCGTCGCTTATAACTAGCTATTTTTAGAGTGTGTCCCAAGTGCTTCAGTTCTCGTGACTTCCCCTTGTCCACATGCAGTGTTGTGTCTGGCATGTCAGTCCTAATTTCTCTTTACAAATTTTGTTTGAAAAGGTATTAGAGCGGAAGGTTATTGTGCGAGGACATTTCCTAAACCTCAAAAGTATAAGATACATGTGCTACAGGGATTCTTTTTTCTGAGGTAAAACTTCCTATCCGGAATCTTTTTGCGATAGTTAATATTCGCTGGGTGGCGTGAGCTCAAAATTGGGTTTAAATAAATGAAAACTCGTTGCCTGCGAGATTTCCAGAATTAAGCCGCGAACTCTCGTACACTTTCATCTCTTCTGCTCCGCTGGCATTCAAATTTCAACCCTCTAACTATACTTTTTTCGTGAAAATGGACAGGAGTTTTCACCTGTCAGATACTCTAAAACAAACTCTATTATCCAACTTATAACTCTCAACTTACATCGATCGCAATCGATCGTTCTTTCTTAAGCCTTAAATGTTTAAGTCCAACTGCTCTTAAGCTATCCCTTTTTATCAGCTCGGCTTGTTGTTCTAATAGTTATGTCTTAAAGTGAGTATAACGCAAATGGGCTGCCTTGAATGATAATCTTAGTTGCAAGGCCCTGTTGTCACAATCTTGACGTCTTAAAGCCAGCTCATGTTCAGTATTTGCTAAAAAAAGTTGACTTATTGGTTTGTGTTATTAACTTGTCTTAAGCCGTTTCATCACAAACACGATAAATTATCCGAACGGCTGAAACGACTTCCAAATCAACATCCTTGTTACCATGGAAACTGCGTTGTCGATGACAACATGTGTTCTGTGGATAATTAAATATAATTTTGAGGAGGTCTACTCGCGGACCAAGCGACAAACGAAAACAGAAGCGTGTTGCCTGCGTCAACGCTAACAGTATAATACATTACTCCTCTGTGCGTTATTAAACGAGATATTCTTGTCAATAGGCCATTTCCGACTTCCCTTTTGCCTCTTTGTCAAAACGAGTCTAGTTTTCTTGCAAAACCATTCATATGGAAATGTGTTCCAACAACAGGTTCATTTTCAAACAAATCAAGCTCATTCTCATACGAAAGTCTTTGCTTAGGGACTCGTTTTGAGACAAAGGCACAAGGTAATTCGGAAATGGCCTATTGATTGGCTGTAGAATTTTATGTAGCTATTTGGGTGAAATAAATTGTCTTTTTAAAAACATTTTCCGCTTCCCAAAATAGAAAACAGTTAAGGCTAAACCATTTAAGAAAGCAAAAAATTACAGCTAAATTTCCTCTTCTAAAAGGTTTTACCCTTTACAATTTATTTCCAACTGTTCTGAAACAAACTATTGTTCGATCGGCTGTAGATTGCAACCAGCTGCTCATAACGAAAATTCAAACTCCATGTATTACAAACACAGTGACAAGTTTCGCTGTTTTTATTTCTTTTTTAGACCCTTTATCTGGTTAACTCCGCAAAATTTAAAAGTTTTCAAACCTAAAACGAGTTCCAGGTTTAAATTTATTTCTTGTTTTTTTTTTTATTTTTTTTATTTTAAAGAAAAAAATAACTTCCGCTAAATTGGAAACGTCGTTGAGTAAAATTAAAGCTAGTTGCCCCTGACAGAAACGAAGCCAGGTCAGTTCGATTTGATGTTTTGTAACAGACATGGACACAAAATTTTAAGTCGATACCCGCCGTTTTTTTTTGACAGTCCTGAAAGATGAATCGCATTTAAAACAAGCTTTCCTTAAAGACACCTCCCTCTCCTTTGTGTAACCAAGAAAATATGTCAAACAGCAGACATTTTCGCGAAGAATTACTTTATTAATTTCACAAAGTACAACAGCCACGAAAAAAAAAATGTAAAATTTCCATCGATTCAAGAAAATGGTTCTAGAAATATTCTTTCGTAGCAATTACCAGCCACGCCAGGGTACAATTAATCTTTTGATCAAAATACCTACTTGAATAAATCCGGTTCGATCATGTTGTAAGGAAAGAATTTGACAAGGTATAAAAATTACGAATAACTACGGATACATGCAACAAACTCTTGGCGAAAGTGCCATTCAACGACTATGAGAGGAATAAGTTGAATATTTACAGACGCATCAATGGCTCTATGGGCTTAAAGGCAACCAGCCCCTACCGAATTTCGTAAATACTGCAAGATTTAAATGCTCTTTTAAGCCGGTTTCAACTCACTTACATTAATAGCACGTCAAATATTGCTTACTCTTTGGAGTTACTCTATCTGTTTCTTTTACCGAACAATTTATTAAGGTCAGCTGATACCGCTCTATCGATAAGCTGTGAGTGGTGTCATTGTTACGTTGTGCTTTCAAATTTCAGTTTCACAGAAACATATTGAGTAATATATGAACGTACCAGGTCATTCATAAAGTTTGTTTAGCAATCCCAATGACCTCACTAGCATTGTAGGTAGAGTCGGTTTTAGTCATAGGGAGGGGGTTGGTCAATGCCATTGGATATATAGCCGGGACAAGTCTACTACGGCGTTTTTAGTGGAGCAAGGTACTAGCAATAAAAGAGCGAACGTTGGTCAATTGCTCGCAATACTTTATGAGCGTCAGCGTCAAGGCCAAACGTCGAATTCACGTGAGAAGAACTAAACTGAGCGATTTAAGTTCATTACCTGATAATTTCGACGTTTGACTCAACTGAGTTCATCCAACTGAATTTAGATCGACTAACACGTTGCATCCATTTGAAGTAGTCGGATAGAACGTGCTGGTTCATCTGAAGTTCGAATTTAATCGACGTTTGACCCAATGATCATGCTTTATCGTTTGGATTGACTCTAAAAATTGCGATTAAGTTCATCTCATGGCCTATAATTATTAAAGCACAATTGTTCCAGGCTGTTCCCTCTGCATGGTATTCAGGGTGATGTCCCGTACCTACGGCGGCGTAATGTGTCGAAATCTTACCAACACAACATGGTTATTAAACGGTATTTCCCCAAATTTCTTCTCCTTTGTCCTTAATCTTGGTAAGAATTCTGTGATGGCATTTCGAATGGTCTTTACTCTCCAGAAACACACCAATGGATTAACAGTGGAAGTCATGAATGCCACAGTTTCGGCCCAGCTGTAGACGTTGTAGCTTTCGATATGCCTTTTGACGATTTGATCAGACGTAGTTATAACAAGAACTGGTAAGTTGAAGGCAAAATATATGGCTATGATGGACGCGATGTTTATCGCCAGCTTGATTTGCATTTGGCGAGTGGACGTCATGGAGTGTAGCTGTTGAATTTGCCGCTGGTGATGCCGTATAATAGAAAGAATTCTGCACTGGGTGGCGATAGCGATAAACAGCGAAGCTAACCACAAACTTAGATGAATTCCTCGGAAAGTGTGATTATGAGCCCATTGGAGTAACTTTAATAATATGTTGACCAACCAAATGATCAGGACAGTTTTCATTACGCGTTGGCGGTTAACAATACTTCGATACCGGAGGTGGCAGAGCAAAGCGATGAGTCTCTCGCAGCTTATCGTGCACAGCGTCATGAAGGAGACACCATAACACGTGTAAAATCCTATCGAGAACAACATTCTGATAGCACAGGGGACGAATCCACTCTGGTTCTCCAACAGTCGGTAAGCGACGTAACTTGGTTGCACCACCAAACCAACGAGGGCATCAGAAACTGCAAGGCTGCCGAGCAGCAGATTGGAAGGCGTTTGTAGCCCAGTTTTTCTGTAAACTACGAAGGTAATAAAGAAATTTGCTACGACAGCGAACGGTGATAAAACGGCGTTAACCACAGCTGTCACTAAATTGGTGGTCCAGCGCTGATAAGTTTCGTCAAACTCTGGATCTGGAAGATGATAACAACTGCCGCTTCTAGAAGAAGCACTCGTAGCTGGCACTGTCAAATTTGTGAAATTTTCTGCGTCGAAGAAGTTCATGTCGAATTTGTGTAGAAACAAGGCTTTGAAGTAAGTTTTGCGTCGCTAGATGACCCTGAATTGTCTCACCCGTGTTTCGCGCATAACATAAAATTTGAATAACTATATTCATGGCTTAATTAAACACTTGGTAGCTAAGGNGTTTTGCGTCGCTAGATGACCCTGAATTGTCTCACCCGTGTTTCGCGCATAACATAAAATTTGAATAACTATATTCATGGCTTAATTAAACACTTGGTAGCTAAGGCTGTAAAAATAAAAAGGATGAGCCGGCAAATGGTCTATCAAAAGTGTCACATAACCCTTATCTTATTTTCATCCACCTGGAGAAATTTGATAAGTTGACTTATATTGCGCTAAAGATAGTCCTACTCAGGCGCTAAAATACGTTTACATTACAAAAACTGAAGGTTTTAGACATTCGAGCTTTGACAAATACCAAATAAAACGATGAAATCTTATAGTTTTGGATTATGCGATTTTCTCACGTTTGAGAAGAACGGGAACCGCGCAAAACGGAATTTTCCGACCTTAAAAAATAAATAATAAAAAAAGCAGGTGATTTCGAACACGTCAAAAGACGTTGAAGAGATTGGCTGTCTAGAGTTGCAGTCAATGTTTTAAAGGTGTTTTGCCCTAGGTGTGACAATTAAGTCATATATTATCTTGAAATCTAAACAATGTACTTTATTGGTTCCAGCTTACTTAAGCTGAGCTTTAGAAATGCTATTGGCGCACTGTAAAATGCAAATTGTCATTTCATTACAGCTTTATATTTTGTGCTCAGCTTATAATTACGTGTTTGCTACCATCTGTAAGCACCTTTTTTTCGTTGATGACTGTTAGTCTCCAATTTACGCTACTTGGTGGCCCTGTCTGCTGATGGTAAGTGGAGAAAGACCAGAGTTTGAGTCTAACTGCAGTCCGTGCTCCGTCAATTCCTCCATGGACATAGCACTTATACCCCATCGACACTACACCGGTGGAATTTCAAAACGCAGGTTTCACTCTGAAAACGCAGCAAATGTTCTCCGTCCACACTACGCCTGAGGAATTTGAAAACGTAACAATCACCGCAACAAAAATTCTGGCAGAGAAATCACATGATTATCGTGACTTCATCTTTTTCGAAAAGCTCTGTTTTTAAAATGTGTTCCGTCCTCACGAAAACGAAAAGCCGGCAGCTAAATTGTAACAATTCAAGAGCCGAGGATGCATGCGTTAAATAATTATAATTGGAATTCTTCACTTGCTGAAAATTGCGTGTAAAATGAAAATACATATCATATTATATAATAACTCTGTTGCAATAATCTTTACAAATTAACTTGTTCCTAATCAAAAGGTCATTTCCCCTCTCCCTTCAACTAGTGGCTTCTCAGGTTTTGTACCCGCAGCAAGTAGTTTACTCGTTCTCTGAATGATCATGTAAGGAATATATAAAAAATTAAATTATTAATCTCTGCTTTAATTTCTATTTTACAATCATTTAATTTTTTTATAAAGTATTATGCGGGATATTCAACGCAAGAGTTACTTAAGCTTAGATATTTACTATTCAAGTTCCTTCGTGGAGTATCTTCTTTATTCAATTGCTTGTTGTTTGCTTCACCTTCTAAGTTCCGTTCACGGAGATTCTTGTTTTATTTCAACATCTGGCGTGTTCGTGTCAGAATCTTAGTTTGTTGTAAAGACAGTAAGATTAGTGTTTCTTTTCAATGTTTTTGTTTTTATGGTTCATTTGTTATCTCCTGAGAACTGGTATGAACTTTTCTAATTTGGCTAGCTTTGCATTCTTTTATGGGCCTGCCACGAATGGTTTGTGCGCTTGTATGTATGTGAGATGAGCAAACACAAAACGGCCCTTTCCCTTTATATGAGACACGCCTGCGGTGAATTGAGGTAGTTGTATTCATCAAGTCCAATCCAAAGGCAGGTCGTCCGGGTCCAAGATGGCGGACAACTTGAGAGAGGATAAAAAGTCGCTTTCGAAAGGACAAAGTGGTGGCATTACATGTTGAGTCCCCTAATAATTCATGGAGAAACGCTGAGGGCAATTATATTTTCCTGAAAGAGCTTGCATTGAGAGAAGTGGATAGGACATACTGAGAAAGAAAACTTTACTCTGACGAGGGACCGAGTGTGTTCGGCTCTCTGTGAATGTGGGAAGAAATGTTACGTGAACAATGTAGCAATCGTATTTGCTGACTGTACATTTCTCCTGTTGCTGTCGAATAAATTCAAGTGTGAGTCCCGAAACAAGAAGTTTTCAGTAGCCAAGCCTTCGCCCGCACTTTCCGCCATCTTGGACTAAACTTGATGATAGAACTTTCATAATTCCCTGCAGGTGTGCCTCATAGAGGAAAAGGGCCATTACCGAGCTATATCACCGGTTTGCTAAGTAGCTAGCCTGCACTCTGAACTCACCAAAGTCCCAGTCTTCGCTCGATGATTCCATCTGCTAACGATAGGAGATGCAACCTCGTTTCCAGGCTCTCTCTTCTCTGCCTCCCTTGGTCGTTGGAAGAAAGACACTGGTCACGCGACAGCCTGTGACACAAACCTTTCCACCGAGATAGAGTCAACGAAAAATTTTTGTCGATCTAAATTGAAGCGAAAGAAAGGTCATCGCTAGCCACAAACTTAAGGGCGAACACACCTTTGAAATTCTCCAGTCCTATCGTAAACTTCACACAGATCAGATGAAATATATTTATATATATTCCGCGTATTGAAGTATCACTCTGATTTCAACTCCAGCCGGTCGGTTTACTGTTTTAAAAAGAAGTAAAACTGTTTCGCTGTTTCACGTTGCCTGAATTAACCTCACGGCACATTGTTCGCGAAATAAAACGATGTCTTATTAACACTTTGCAAAATATAATTCTTGATTATGCCAAGGAACCGTGTTTCAACATCTGTCTAAATATAAACTTAGTATACATAAACCTGATGCGGATTAAATATATATAAGTGTGGGCTTATGTCAACAAAACTGTAAATCATTTTACACTGCTGTAAATCAGATGCAAGTAAGAATTGTCAGCTAATTGGCCGTGTGACAGAAATAATTTTTAACAATCAAAATACCGCACAAAGAAGAAAATAAATTACCTCCGAATTCAAAACTTCAAGAGACCGATCCACTGGTTTCACTTCGATTCGGTACGTGACATTTTACATGTGCTAACAGTCAAAAAGTCTGTGCTCCGCTCGTCTGCCGAATTTCTTTGTGAACGAAAGTCGTCTATATTTTGAAGACGGCAGAAATAGTGTAGCATTCTTCATCGGCAAAATTCGACTTCGAACCCCGATAGAGCGGGTAGTTTTTACCGACTGCTCGAGGTTTTGAAACCCACAAAGTTTGGCACAGCAACGAACAAAACACTTTGCCACCCCTACCAACACCAACAGAATTTTTACCACCCAGATTCTGGGTGGTCACGTGACCAGCCGCAACCAGGGTCTTTCTTCCAACGACCAAGGGAGGCAGTGGAGAGGGAGCCTGGGAAAGAGGTTGTAGGAGATGAAGCAATATTCATTTTGGCCACGTCGATTCTTAATTGGCGACGATGGAGGCGAACAAGAAACAACTGTTGCATATGGCTCTTTTAGCTGCTGGAATATTGCTAATCCTCGCAGAATATGAACTATATGAAAAGCAACAGAAGGCGAACCCCGACACAGGTAAGGTTTGTATTTTAATCATGCAGTAGGACAAATCGTGTTGGCTATGTCCTAATTAGAACTAAAAGTGCATACACAGGACCGGTGTTAAATATGGCTCATAATTACGCCACATACAAGTTCGCGCCACTTCGCAGAAAAAAATTTAGACAAATGTGCAGAAAATTAAAAACGCGAGCGGACGCTTTCTAGCACAGTTAATTAGATCCCTCCAATTTGGCCAAAGCCATGCTTTGACAAGTATCTCAGTCAATACACTTTTTTAGTCATAAATTGCTCAGCATTAATTCGACTTCTATGTGTCATGGGATTCCCCAACAAAAACTGTCTTTTCGAACGCGTTTTTCCTACCCGTCAATATGACTTCCAAAACTGTGACATGTTTGTAATGAACAGCTCTGGCTATTTCACGCAATATCAACAGTTCTGAATTTCATATTTTTCATATAAGCAAAAATATCGTATAAAGATCAATTTATCAGCCGAATTTAGTAACTGTTCGAAGTTTAGTAACAATACGGTGCAAGAGTCAAACGCCCGCCCTCTAACATATTGTAACGCGCGCGGTCAACAACAACTTCCAGTCAACGTTTAGCTTACTTGTACATGGCCAGTCTACTAACACACACAGACCACTACATAACGTGAGTCCCTTATATATCCTGTATTACGAGTGCACTGCGCATTCCGTACTCGCCATATAACCGTCTCTTAGTCTTAGAACTCTTGCGAGTATACATTCAAATACAACCGTTATACATGTTAGCACGCGCATCATAGCTCGCGCAATAACTATATCAATTTCATTACAATATTTTTCTTTGCAAAACGTGGAAACTCTGGGGTCCCATATCTTCATGAGTTTTCAACGGATTCTTTTGAAACTTCGCAAATTTACTACATTCGATTTGATACGTCGAGCGGTGAGGCTAATTTCCTTAGTTTCTTTAATGAAAAAAAGATTGGAAAAGCGTGACATAGTCGAAGTGGTCCTGATTAAAATAATGATAACAATGAATGAAAATAATAAATGATCAAGAGCTAGTCTGTTACCTTGGTTGTTGTGTGATCAGTGAAAACATCCCCTGAATACATATCGAGCGCGAATTTAACAAATATAGAGTGATAGTATGTATATATCTTACGTTCTTTCGTGGAAAGGACCGTTATAACCTTGTAAAGATCCCCGAAATTGCTGGGTTTCTAGTTTTAAATTTTCCGTTTTACTCGTGGTGATAATATCTGTTTTACTTTTTTAAAAAATTTGATTAACGTTAAAGCTACTTGTCATATATGGACACAACTTACGAGCTACAGCTTCTTATAATACAATATCAACATTACTGACTTACCATTTTTAAGCATTTTATGGACAGTTATAAGGAATTGGGCCATTTTATTATGTAAATTTTTAATTTTTCAATTTTCTTGTTTTAATTGTTATACTTGATCTAATGCTTCACTTTTTAATATTTTAGTGTATCTCATATCTCGGTTTTTTTGTATAATCGTTGCATATCTGAGAATCAGTTTCTACATTTTCAATTTTTAACACAGCATCTTTTTTTTATTCTGTAAATATTTATACGAGGGCCACTGGTTTTTCAGTTATTACTGTTGTGTGCTACCCTCAATAAATAAAGTTGATTATATATTATTATTAGTAGTAGTAGTATTATACTGCCGCTACTAACAAATACAGTACTGCGCAAAATAAATGTAAACCAGAATTGACGAATGCCGCAATAATCACGATTAATCGGTGATATTTGAACGATATTTTGCATCAAATGATATATCCCGAAAAGAAATGGGAAGCTATTGATGTTTGCCGTACACAAATTCGCAATTAGCCAATCAAAAGCCGTCTCATGATATGGCTATGATATCATGCTCACTTGAATTTGGGCACAGTAATTACCTCGTCGTATCTCTTTGGTACTCGTGGTCTCGCCAAAATACGCACTCAGTCGCTTAACCAAACTCGCTTGATACGAAAAGGTACGACTGGATATAAGAACTGTTGCAATATTTCGCTGAGTCCTTAAAGTCTTGCCGCTTTTATCTTATGGTGCCGAGTTCAATCCGTGAGCCTAGGGCAGTCATAAGTCTGCTGGATTACTTGATGGACAGAGTCCTCCTAAGTATGTGAGCAGTTCCAAGGAGGACGGTCTTCTGTAGCTCTGTTATTCTAATATTGCCTGGGATCTTGCCGATCTAGTTTTCTGTTCCCTTCTCGACAAGCCCGAAAGCTCCAATGATCACTCGTACTGTTGTTGTTTTCATTCCTCACGTTTTCTCGATTTCAATCTTAAGATCTTTGTATTTTGTGAGTTTTTCCATTGTTTTCAAGGAGGTGTTTCTTTCTGTGGGGATGAACATGTCGATAACCAGACAGGTTCTTTCCTTCTTGTCTTTCACCACTATGTCTGGTCTGTTTGCTTTTATCTCTTTGTCGGTTTGGATTGGCATATCCCAAAGTACAGTCGCTGTTTGGTTTTCTGTCACAGTAGCTGGTTCATGTTCGTAGTGTTTATCTTGTACTTTGATGTTATAGTGTTTGCATATTGTCCAGTGGAAATATGCTGCAGCTTTATTGTGTCTTTGTATGTGTACTCTGTCTTGGCAAGTTCAGGGCATCCGGAGACAAGGTGGTCAACTGTTTCTTGAAATTGCCCACAGATTCTGCACATTGGGTCGGTTTCATCTTTCAGGATCTTGTTTCGGTAATAGTTGGTCTTAATGCATTGATCTTGGGCAGTAATAATGAAACCTTCTGTTTCTGATTTGAGGCCAGGTGTACTCAGCCAATCGTGGGTTCTGTCTTGGTCTACATCCTTCTCTTTTGTTCTTTTTGGGTACTNTCCTCCTAAGTATGTGAGCAGTTCCAAGGAGGACGGTCTTCTGTAACTCTGTTATTCTAATATTGCCTGGGATCTTGCCGATGTAGTTTTCTGTTTCCTTCTTGACAAGCCCGAAAGCTCTAATGATCACCAGGACAGTTGTTGTTTTCATTCCCCACGTTTTCTCGATTTCAATCTCAAGATCTTTCTACTTTGTGAGTTTTTCCATTGTTTTCAAGGAGGTGTTCCTTTCTGTGGGGATGGACATATCGATAAGCAGACAGGTTCTTTCCTTCTTGTCTTTCACCACTATGTCTGGTCTGTTTGCTTTTATCTCTTTGTCGGTTTGGATTGGCATGTCCCAAAGTATAGTCGCTGTTTGGTTTTCTGTCACAGTGGCTGGTTCATTGTTGGAGTCCCTCCTTAGTACAATGATCGCGCGCATGACACAACATTCTTGATTGGCTGGTTTAGTATTTAGAACATTTTATTACTGAATCAACTTAGCAAATAGTGTAAACTGAGTCGTCCATATATTAAAGGCATAACACATTTACGTGGAACTATAATAAATCTCTTCTATCGATCTGTTTTAGGAGCACCTTGCTGTAACGATCTCCTATACCTTTGCAGGACAGAAAAATTCGATATTTTCAAACTTTGTCAAGACGAAGGCCTTTATCAACTTGTTTCGAAACTAACTTTGAGGTTGTTTGGATTTTTGTTTTCTACTCGAGATGGTTTTATGTACTTTGCCCTCATAGAGCAAATCTCGTCCCTAAAATTACCCTTTTTTCGAACTCTGGCAAGCCAAAAAAATAAGCGCATTTAGAAAAGCTAACCCATATTACCAAAATATAATCTTTTAGTAGTTATTTGGCGCTGTCAGATCCGCATTAAATTTAAACCTGGATTTTTAGCCTATTTTCAAAATTATACGCTTCGACGATGTTGCGCCGCGTCAAAATTTTGCTCAATCTCGTGGACCAGAAATTTAATCTGATACTTTCAAAACTATGTTTTGGGGTAAAAGTATACTTCATGTTAGTNCCATATACTCCTCCCTGGTCCATTTACTTCTTGTTTCTCTTTGGCGATTTACAGTAGGTGCATTTTCAGGGCCTCTTTGAGGAATATCCTCGGTGTGGTAATCCTCATCTGCTTGTTGGGCGGAGTTTGTTCCAGTAGCATATTTTTCGAACCCAGCCTGGTTCCCTACTGAGGGACGCGGTCCTTGTTTACCCGCGCGACGACCGATGCGGTATGAAAAATTGTCATTATTACTTGTCATGTTTTAACAATTTATTGTGTTGGTTTTTGCTCAGAGTGGCCTTCTCCTAGTTGGGCTGGCCACCAAGCCTAGCGAGCCCCAACTATCCGTTTGCTGTAACCCTAACAGGGGTGGCTTTGGGGTTACTGGTGCTTGCCAAAGACACCACCCCAGACTATGGTGGGCGGGAACGTCCATCTTCCCGAAGTAGGCTAAGGCACCGGCCTGTCCTACCCCACTGCCCATTTATTATTATTATTATTATTATTATTATTATTATTATTATTATTATTATTATCATTACACTACTACGGCTACTAACAAATACAGTACTGTGCAAAAAAATGTAAGCCAGAATTGACGAATGCCACGATAATCACGATTAATCGGTGATATTTTAATGATATTTTACATGAAATGATATATCGCGAAAAGAAATGGGAAGCTATTGATGTTTGCCGTACACAAATTCGCAATTAGCCAATCAGAAGTCGTCTCATGATGTGGCTATGATATCATGCTCACTTGAATTTGGATACAGTAAATACCTCATCGCACCTTTTTGGTACTCTTGGTCTCGCCAAAATACGCACTATCGCTTGACCAGACTTGCTTGATACGAAAAGGTACGACTGGATATAAGGACTGTTGCAATATTTCGCTGAGTCCTTCGTGATTTATCGTTTGCACTGAGCGATACATCGTTTCCATCTAACGAAACATCGCCACAGCTTAGCAAAATATCGTTTTTGCTCATCGAGATACCGTTGTTCCGCAGCGATATATCGCTAAACAAAACCAAGTAACAAAAAATTAGACTTTTAGGCAATATATAGGAAGTTAGTGTCTCCTGATCTTGCCTTTTTCTAGCGCACAATCGACCTGAGCTCTCAATCCCAGACTCATGCAAATATTAATGAGCGGCATTTTGGTGGACATCCCTGGACTAAACTGTTGAGACAGTTTTACAATGTTTTAAGTGCGCACGATACCACAATGTAATCACACCACGTCAGAGTCGTCCCCACCCCCCCTCCCGTGTTACTAACCCGCTCGACGATGCTGCCTCCACACAGATGATAATCCTTTCTGTGTTTTCTTTATTTCTTAGAGCCAAGTCTCAAGGTTTCAAATGTACAGACTCTACAGGTATGGTACTAAAACTGGTGCAAATCAATCGATCGATCAATCAGTCAATCAATCAATCAGTCGATCGATCAATCAATCAATAATAATAATAATAATAATAATAAATAAATAAATATCAGTCAATCAGTCAATCAATCAATCAATCGATCGATCAATCAATCAATCAACACTTTATTTAAACACGTTGCGGCTGGGAGCTAAGTAAGCACGATCAATTAACGAACGTGTATGCATCTAACAAATAAAGTCATTACACCAAAGCGAGAATATCCTAGTGAGTATTTTGAGCCCCCTCCACCCTTGGTTAAGTCTGCATACGAGCCAAGTGGCCCATCAGGCCGGAGCTTACCCCGCTTTCTCTAGCATGAAGCGACTAGGAGTATTTCTACTCCACCTGGATGGGATGCTAGTCCATCGCAGGGTCACCTTCAGCGTTAAATTTACCAGTACCCATTTATACACCTAGGTGAAGAAAGGCACTGTGAGAGTAAAGTGTCATGTTCACCCGACGGAGGAGAAATTTGAAAACGCAGCTCTATTTCTACGGTTAGGATACCGTCCACACTAATCGGGGCTTTTCGAAAACAATCTTCAAACTAGAGGAATTTGAATACGCTGGCTTTGCGTTTTATTGTGGACAAAACATTTTTAAAACGGACTTTTTCGAAAACGATGACGTTGCAATAATCATGTGATTTCCCAGCCTTGGCCTTCCTCAAACCCAAATCCAAATGACCAGTGATGCATTTATGGCTTTTTCAGAGTGAAAAAGCCGTTTTCAAATTTCTCCGGCGTAATGTGGACCGGGCCATAGTTTCGAGTTTGCAATCGTGACGCCATGCAATCGTGAAGTAGCATTCACGCAAAAAGAAGTCGGATTTTAATTGTACTTCAGTTGTGACGTCATTGCAAAGCTCTGTATAACGATTCGTGGCCCAATCTGTATTGGGGTGAGTTTAGTCCCGAACATTTGCTATTTGCACAGGTTGAGTCAAATTTAGTTACTTACCAGATGGCACGCGTTTCAATGTGAAAAATGAACAATGTTTTCCATTTCGTTTACTAATTGCTTTTGGGATGTTGTGGTACTTAGTAATCTTAGAAAATGAGAAATAGAGGATACGGCCAAATATATATCATATACAGCTTAACGGATGAAAATCGTTTATTTCACCAGCCAATCCATGGCGTAAAATCCAACCTTGATCAAAACACGACGCTTCTACCATAATATTCTGAGGTATTCGGGAACGGTTGACATGAAATGCAGCTGTAATTTCCTGTTAGAAACTGGACTGTTTTCTAGCCTGCCTCCTGACCTGCTTTTTGCCTATTTTGCGGCCTTGAATACTCTTGAATACTATGGCCACATGATTGCATATTCAAGGCCAGAATTCTCAGTCTAGATCTAGTAGGATATTTTTGCTTTGGTTCAGTGACCTAGTGTATTACAAATTGACATATATCACCTCTGGAAATTTTTCCGTTCGAATTTAAAAATGACAAACTAATTAGTTCTTGTTTCATTCACAGGGATCATATCATTTCCGCTCTCCAAGGGAGTTAAGACAAAACGAACGCAGAAAACTGGTTGAGACGTTTTGCAAAAAGACTGGACACAATTTCATGCCAGACCCTTCTCACATTATAGTGATTCCGTCTCTTAAAGTGCTCTACTGTATAACACCTAAAGTGGCTTCCAGGCAATGGAGAGAAATGCTCTATTCATTTTCAAACATGAGGAAAAGAGCGCTTCTACTAAGTCGGTATCCTCCCGAGGAGCAAAAGCAAAAGTGGGAAAAGTATTTCAAGTTTACGTTTGTTCGTGAGCCGTTCGAGCGCATTCTGTCCGCATACAAAGACAAGTTCGTTTATCCAAGATTTCCCCGCAAAAAACTTCAACTTCACGGCACAGCAATTCTGAGAACCGTTCGTCCAAACGCTTCCAAGAGCGCACTTGATAAGCTTGATGACATCACTTTTCGTGAATTCATTGAATATTTAGTAACCAAAGGAAGCAGCAAAAGTACGCCTGTTATGGACTGGCACTGGGACAATTACGTCAACATTTGTGGAATGTGTGCCGTCAACTATGACTTTATAGGTCATTACGAAACTTTCGATCAAGACTTGGCAGATTTCAAAGAGGCTGCAGGGTTATCGCCCCAACAGGCAAAGAAATTCGATGCTCGAGCCAACAATAAATCCAGTACCGCCTCCTCTATGCTCAGTTATTACTCGGAGATTCCCGTAAAGTGGATCAACATCCTTGGGCGGTTGTACAGAGCCAACTTCGAGATGTTTGGATACAACTTCCCGGGACCTCTTAAGAGTCTTTTTGAGTAAAGGAAGAGATTATAGTCAGGATGTGACATTTTGAAGACTTTTTAGCTTTTTCCGTCTTTTCTTCTTTTAATATGGCGCGATAACTTTATGGCTTCTGAGTACTCTGGTCCCTTAAGTCGGCAGTTTAAGCCATGCTTGGAGTACGTTTTGCGTCGTATTAGAGAACCGATGTCTCTCACGCACGCAAAGAAGTATTTGGTTGTTTGAATTTGAATTTTATTCTTTTGTTGATTAAACACCTGTGTTAAGCTGCAAAGATAAACCGATTTGCCACAATTGTAACGTAACCCTCACTTATTTTTCATTTATGTGGAGAAATGTAATAGGTCAACTTGCTGCGCTAAAGATAGTATTGCACAGGCAATAAAATATATGTACATTACAAAAGCTGAAGGGTTAGACTTTTGAGTATTGAGAAACACCAAATACATCGATTAAGTCTTTTTTTTGGGGGGGGGGGGATTCATGCGATGTTATTAGGTTTGAGAAGAAAGACGGCCGTAAAACGGAATTTTCTGATCTTAAAAAAAAAACATGGCAAAAAAGAAACAGCAACAACAGCAACAACAATAACAACAAAAAAACTCAAATTAATAAATAAAGAAAACCAGGTGATCTCGAACATATCAATCAAGAGATGTTGATGAGATTGGCTGTTTAGAAGTGCAGCCAATATTTTGCAGCTGACATAAAGTTTTCGGAAACGAAATGAGCCTCAGGTGTAACAATTCATATCATCTTGAAATCTATACTTTACTGGCTCCAACTTATATGCCAACATCCCTCTCGTAACACTACACCCGCCAGATTGATGCGCCAAAACCCCCCAATTTTTAATTATAAAAGGTAACTTTCTTAGTCTATTTTACTTATGATGTTGCCCTAGCCAATAAATGAAAGTTAACCGCGCGTAAACCAGTATAAAAGTGAACAATTAAGCATTTGGTGAGAGCTTGTAAGTCAGTCACCAAATTATAACCAGTTTCGACCTAGTCCAGGCCTAAGATAGAGCAGGTATGCTATCGTCCATTCCAAACAGCTTGGCTACAAATTATGGCATCGGCTGTTAAAGTGGCATCGACCGTTTACGGTAACGTAACGAGCCCTAGGTGCGATAATTCATAGCGGAGCTCCGGCGGCCCGAAGGGCCGTCAAGCGGACCACCATACCCATATAGGAAAGTAAAGGAAATCCATAAATTGATTTTCTCGTGCTAATAATGGCTAGCGGTATTGCTTGTAGGTGCGTGCGCATAACGACGACAACAACGGCGGCGGAGTCGCCCAAGATGGCAACTTCACTCCAGCTAATAGGGTGACAGACATGCAGTCTTAATTTATAACGTACTTCTTTGATTTTGGACATCCATGTTATGGTCAATTGACACCTGTCAAAACAAGGTATCCGCTGACTAATATCACGTAACCATAACGTGGGCTTAAGTTTAGAGCTCATCGAGGTTACTTGTTTTTTCAAGTTGACCGCTGACCAAGTGCTGGTTTTCGATTGGACCGCGGGCTCATGTCAGGTTAACTTGCTGTAAATCACGGTTGTTCGGAACCCAGTGCGGCACGATTTCGTTTTTCTCTCACAGTCAATCATAACATAGACAAATTGATGTCAGTTTTTCGTGCGTCTGTCCTGTTGGTGGTCATGAATTTCGTCATAACATTGTCAAAGTAATAATAATAAAGTGTATTATCGTTTGTCTCAGGATGTAGTCACTTGAGATGTAGATCGCGACGTTTCGACTGCCTACCGCTAGTCTTCTTCAGGCGATGAAGTAGTTGTGGATCCACGAGGTGATAGCTGACACGAAGCTGAGTGTAACTGTTGAACTTACTACTGGTGATGCCGTATGATAGAAAGAATTCTGCACTGGGTGGCTACCACAAATTAACAGCGAGGCTAACCACAAACTTAGATGGATTCCTCTGAAAGTGGCATTAAGAACCCACTGGAGAAACTTTAATAACAAAAGCTGAAATGTTAGACTTTTGAGCAGTGAGAAATACCAAATACATCGATGCAATCTTTTTTTTGGGATCATGCAACCTTGTCATGTTTGAAAAGAACGAGGGTCGCAAAACGAAATTTTCCGACCTTTAAAAAAAACAGGTGATCTTGAACATGTCAAAAGATGTTGATGAGATTGGCTGTCTAGAAGTGCTACCAATCAGTTTACAGGTGGAATAAAGTCTTCGGAAACGTAATGAGCTCTAGGTGTAACAATTCATATTATCTTGAAATCTATACTTTACTGTTCCAGCTTACTTAGGTTAAGTTGAGCTTTACAAATGTTAATGAAAAAGTTTTCATTTCATCAAAGTTTGCATTT